TTTCTATTCTCGTAGAAATACAAAATATTTTTGAAGTTCCCTCTGAGGAAGGCGAGAAATGTGGGTGTGCATAAGAGGAAGTTGGACTTTTGCTTCACTGCCACTGGAGAGCTTCACTCTCTTTCGAGGGACTGGCGACGAAAGAAATGTTAATAGCGGGCTGTCTGGAACTGAAGCCGGCGAAGAAATCATTGGTGGTGACATGGGTGAACTGATAGTTTTTCCACTAAGGCCAGGCAACGGCGAAGAGACAGAGTGATTGGCGCTAGGTCCGTCAGGACAAGGGGAACAGGTTGCTCCACTATTTCTGGGCGAAGAAACAGGCGAGCTGCTGGTGCCAGGTGCAAATCAATGCAGAACGCCAGCCTGCAATAAAACAATTAACTGTTATAGATTCATTTTTCCTTGTTCATAAAATGTTACCAACCAAGTACCCAAAACCGTGTGACCATGCAAATGAGCATACAGTATCATAATCATATACCACCATACAACAATCATACAAAGACTCAGTGGCGAAGCCAGCGGTCATGCAGGTCATGCAGTGCATGACTAAAAATTTCCCCAAAAATGTTTAAAAATCAGTTCAGTATAATTGTTTACAATAGAATTATACTTTATCTTTGCACTTCTACGCCTAAGTATTTTATTTATTATTTTGTTTACCCAAATCAATGGTCTTTAGGCGATATTCTTGCTAAATATTCTCGTATGTTATTGATTTTGGCTTTGTTCCCTTGGCAACTGAGCGGTCCTGCATATTTTCACATGCATGACCGGTTGCGTAAGCGCGTGGAAAACGATTGCGTGTGATTGCTGCGTGGTTTGCTCGCTGTGTGTTTTGGTCATGCACTTTCAGAATTTCATGACTAGCTGTATATTATTTTATATTAGGTTTGTTGGTTTCTGATTGGCTTACGACTTTCGCGCACGCGCAATGCGGCTGTTTTTGACGCCTTGGTCATGCAATTTTCGATTTGCATGACTAAACGGGCAACACAACCTGATACAGCCTCTTAGCTCGAAGCTTTCAGCCTGAATAAACACGTCTTCAGGTCATTCAAGCATGTCGACTTCTTCTTTACTCGAAGCTAACGATATTGTTTGGGAATTGGTGAAAAAACCATTTTCTGCTGAGCAGAATATTATTGTTTATAAGCAGAGACAAACGCCAGATCTTTCGACATGCCCGATCGGGAAGGTTTTCAAATGTCGTTGTATTCAAAGAAAGAATGGCTTAGCCAGTCAGGCTTAGGCTAAATAAGCTATTGGCTATTGGTATTTAGTTATTGTTACATGTATTTTGTCTTGAATATTTAAGCCTTCAACCCGAGCATAGGCGTATAAAGCATCGAACGCTATATACTATATGAAATACAATGTCAATGTCGAGGTCAATGTAGTAAACAATGTAGTTCTATAAATAGCGCTGCAAAGCTTATACATTTCAACACGCAACACAAACATTTTAGCGATTGTGATTTAGCAACATATTTCATATATACTTGTTTGTGAAACAAACAAAGAAATTTCAATATATACTGTTAAATTGTATTTACGCCCTTTTGGTACATACTCCCCGTGCGTTCGAAAATATCCAATATTGGCAATAGCCAATAATCGATATGAATGCAGAATTCGGCTATAAAACTGACAGTAAAACTTCTATTCAAACATCTGATAATGCTTAATTCATTTCTGTATGTAATATTCTAATAATTGGGCGATTGATTTTAAATTAAGGAAATTGATCAAGGCCCATGCGTTATATTTTCCAAGTCCTGCATATTATACATATATTGTAGATTAAACTGACTGTATTAGCAGCTATTTGTCATTATGTTCCGTTAGTATATGTGGATAAAATTGTATCTAGTTCTGGAAATGTGAAAACTCTTCAGACTTCACGTTGAAATACTACAAGGGGATAGCATATCAAAGTAATCAATTAAAAATTAGGTAGTCTATACAGACTATGATAATACAGAACATGCATGTAATATTTTCTGATCGAAAAGAGATGCACAATTGCCGGTATGACTATAATAAGCGGAACTGCAGACCACAGATTTCCTATTTTTGTGTCGATCTTAATCATTATTGTTGTCTGAAATATGCCAAAATATCCACATATTTTCCCGTCATTAGATCAAGCTATTTTCTGAAATTTGATGCTCAGATTGCTGCAAATGGCGGTTCTGGGGTATATATTTCAAAAATTTTCCGGGGGGCATGCCCCCGGACCTCCCTAGGATCTTTCGCGCCTTCGGCGCTCGTTCGCATGACCACTCACACGACGCTGGCTTCGCCACTGACAAAGGTTGCTTTCTAGCTACCCACTGACCCACAATGTTTTAAGCACTTGCTACACCGTACATACATTCTTTGATACGCTTGCATGGCCTGACGGTCAAACTGACACGCAAGGAACTAAAGGCGGATTTCCATTCACTGCAAAATGTTGCGCGATCGACTTTTTGCGTTTGCTTCCTTATGAAATGCAAACTTTCAAGCGGAACAAATCTCATTAGCTATAGTTGACTGCATACATTTCAAAAGAAAGAGATCGCAAAAAATCGATCGCGCGACATTTTGAACTGAATGGAAATCCGCCTCAATGTAGCAAGTGAACGTCGAAAGGTTAGCAATAATTATTATATATGCGTCGTGTTTCCAGAAAAGAAAACATTTATATTGCTTTGGTCACAATGTGTTGACAAGAACGTCTTGTTCTAAAATATGGAAATGAGTTCCACAAAAAAGATTTTAAACCAAGAAACGCCGATAGTTTGAAACAATACATAAAATGTCAATGACAAACAAGTTTAACAGTTCTTGTCTTATGCTTATTTCATCGTCTGAACCAAGCTTTAGTCAGTTTTTGATGAATGTTTGCGTTTATAGTACTTGCATTTCTTTCATATATTTGTTATACTTTATCATTTCGTCCATATATGTATAATAGTATATAAAGGACCCAAAATACTTCCTTGTGGAACACCCAAAGTAACATGGGCTTACTCGGAGACTGCACCATCTACAACAACTCGTTGGAATCGTTGATGCCAATAATCTTTGAGCCAATCATGCATGCGGTCCACTGCACCAGAACTTTTAAGTTTTTGTAAAAGGTGGTCTACGATACGTTATCTTATCACACAGCTTTAGAAATAGACTTGCTACAAGTACTCGCATTTTTTTCATTCGCCCACGCGTTCTCACTCTTTTTACGCCTAATTACAATACGAGACAAGTTATAATGCGTTACGGTGCGAGTCGACTAGCTAGTAGGAAGTCTATTTTATAAACTCCCATTATTTGTTTTATATTTATATATTACTACACTGCTTGTATTGAATGCACAAACATATAGTTAAGACAAACGAAAACAACATTGCTCCAATATTAATGAAGTAAAATGTATATATGAAACACCAAATGCAAAAACACGATGTTGAAGTCTGTATTACCATTTGCTTCAAATCATTGACAAAATTATTTCATAAAAGTATTTCAAGCGTCTTTTAGAGACTGGTATTTGCTTATACAAGATAGAATATTTAATGTACCGCGATGGGTGGTCATCCCTTCATATTATCATGGCCATGGGGCCACTGGCGTAGCCAGTGCAATATACCCGTAGTGGCAATGCAAATTTTGTCGTGTTCATAGATTGGAAAGACAATAAATTGAAAAGAAATGCAAAATAGTAATGATTTCAAATTTGCATTACCGCCCCGGGCATATTGCGCTGGCTACGCCAGTGCATGGGGCTTTGATGGCGTAGTCATCAGAGCAAACACCTCTGAGTTTGTGGGTTTGATTCTCGCTACGGACTCATGTTATAAGAGTCAGTCAACACTCAACACTCTGCCGAAAGTCGTGGGTTTTCTTCCCATTGCTCCGGTTTCGTCCCGCATGGAAGTTGACAGGGTAGGTTAGGATAAACACAGTTAATAATGGTAATTGAACTGAGTGGAGTACAGTTTATTCTGAAATCAAGCGCGTGATTACAAAATTGCACGAACGCGAAGTTGGAGTGCAATTTGCAATCACAAGTTTGATTTCAGATCAAACTTGCACGACACGAAATTCAATGACCACTTTACCATATTCATTTTGAAATCACATAAAAATAAAATCACACAAGAAATTTATTTTATTGAACTGAAAACCGGAACTTGTTTTACATCATAAATATTTCTTGCACATTTATAGTAATTAAAGTGACATTCGTAGCGACCAGGGGGTGAAGGAGGGGGACTATCCCCCTGATAATTGCTCACGATCTAGTTCAAGTAGATTTCCAGTAGATTTTCAGGTAAATTCAGGTAATTATCAGGGCATGAAAAAGTAAATTCTATGCTCTGAATCAGAACTACAGTTAATAACTAAAGACCAACTAAAGACGTTGAGAGGTGTCATGGCAGGGGGGACAAAGTCAAATACTCTTTCCGACGATCTGGAGACCTAATATTTCCAAAATTTTCTCTATTTTCATAGTCACATTAAACTCTAACTTATAATACTTATCTTCATTGTTAGGCAATACTAAAATATTGAAAAATTGAGTAGGAAAGTCTCTAAAAATTTCATTTCCGACGATCAAGAGACTTCAAATTTGCAAAAAGATTTCGTAGGCAACAACCATGGTGGCACCTCGCAAAATCATGTAAAAACGTTAAGTTGAAAAACTTCAGGTAAATCTAATCTCCCCCCCAATGACAAAGTCCTAGCAACGGCCCTGGATATATGGCACAATCGCAACGAACAACAAACGTTTTCAAACTAGCACGATCAGTGTTTTTTTAACTTTTTTTAAATTTGAACTTTTATAAAAAAGTTCAACAACAAATATAATGTTCAGTCTTCGTCGTCTGAATCCAATACGAAAGCTCTGCGGGTTTTTTTGGCTGTGAAGACGATGGGAAAGACTTGCTGAAATAGTTGTTTATCGTGCAACCGTTGTAATTTGACATTGAAATTCAATGGTTGGATACTGGGGAGCAAAGAACGGAAATCCATTCGGCTGAATGTTAGGATTAAAATCCATTGGTGAATGGCATTCTTTGAGACTTTGTTAGCTTTTGTTACTGCTGCAGTCGAACTCGAAGTTGGAATTAAAGCGATGATATTTGTACTCGATGCTTCAGATGCTCGAGGCATGCTAACGGTAGCCTGCGTAGGAGACGGATTTTAGGGGAGGTTGCGGGCGGGGAAAATTAGGGCGGGAAAAGTTATGCGGGTGGGCGAGAATAACCGTCTGCCGGGTTTCTATATGATTTCGTTTGCCAGTCCACTGGTGGACTGAAAATACTTGATTGGCTAAAAACCCAACGGCTGTAAATAAGTTTATTATTATATCAACTTAATTAGACAAACATGGCGTCTGCTTTGGAGCACAGTGTCGAGTTTGACTTCCATATTGAGAATGCGCTTAGTATACTAAATTCGTATAGAAATTCTTCATGTAAGTTTGTGTTGAAGACGGAGCAAGAGACAGCCGTAAAGGAACTATTAAAAGGAAATGATGTTTTGGCTGTTTTGCCGACAGGATTCGATAAAAGTGTAATTTTTATCGTGTATTTGTTGGCAAGTAGTAGTTTCGTCGAACAGACTAGAGGCTCTTCTTAAAGCAGTGTGCTTGTGGTTTCTCCTCTGAAAAGTATTATATGCGATCAAGTGTTAGAGGTATCTTCGTTCAATTGCTTTGCGATGGAGCTTTCGAAGGAAACTATCCACCAAATCACAACATCTCCGCCGCAATTTATATATTGTAGCGCGGAAAATTGTATAGACAAAGATTTTCTTGATATGCTCAAGGATGATGGCTCACAATTACACAAGTCTGTGGAAGCAATAGTTGTGGATGAGTCTCATACACTTGAGACATGAACTGGAAAACGGTAAGACCGGTTTTCTGAAATCGCTTCTTCTAAAAGTTTAGTTATGTAGTCTGGCATTGACGCCAATCTGCATGGCACTGTATTTCTAAGTATTCATATCGCATATCGGTACAATGGAACTTTTTTCGTCTTTTTTATGTAGAGATATAAAGGGCAAATCGTCGAAGTCGAAGGACAAGAAAGCTTTCAGAGAAGCTTTTGGAAAGCTTGCTATTCTTAGGTCAATGTGCAAAAAAGGCAAGCAATTTATATTTTGTTTCTACAATTTATATAATATACTCCTAGTCGTAATAGGCCGTGGGCTGTTGTGCGAAAAAGTGCCTAGAAAAGCAATTTCGTGCCACCCACCTGGGAAATAGATTTTCTGTGGTTCAATTCATAGAACCATAGATGCTTAAGAGGCTGTCTCCGTAAAAACCTACAGGTCAATATGGGGCTCAAAAATATATTTCTCTCATACTCTAGTACTCCGAAGATCTATCCTTGGAAACAACTAAAATCGATTTCATTTTACTCAAATTTCCTTTAAATTATTTTTGGGGGCGATTGATGTTCGATCGGCTGGTAACCAACTTGAACTCCGAATGAAAGCAAATATCGACATATTTTCAGCGCTATTTTTAAAATCAAATTCATACCTAAATTTCAAAATTTTTGCTCAGAAATATAGACTTATCCTTCTATTTTCGTTGGTGATATGACTTAGATAATTATTTTTTGGTATAAAATAGAAAACACCTCCTGAACAGATAACGGATATCATCTCAAAATGTATCAACTTCGAAAGCTTATTTCAAAATAGTGGCACTTGATTGGCACATGACTTTAACTTTTCTATAAACAACACAAATCAACACAAATCGCCAATAATATCTTTCTGATCTACCATTTGACAAAAATGACAAGCGCGCAAACTTTGTAAAATTTGAAAATGTGTCGAAATCGAGCATACTTTATCGGTAAACCTAATTGTTGATATTAACAAATAAAACCACCTTACACTACACTGAATGAAGCTTGATTATGTAAATATATGTCTTTCATCATTTATCTTTGGTTTAGCACTCGAAAGAAATTGTTTGACTGTACAGTTTGGCTTCAAGGATAGTCATTGAATGCCAGTGTGTTCGAATTCAGCGCGCCTCAATGCCATTAGTCCTGATTGTAACATACGAACTTCGCTCTGTTCGCTTTGTTTACCTCCTGTAAATAAAATGTCTCAAAGCAATTAGAAAATTCAGAATTAGTCATACTACAGACATAATTTTCATTGGTTTGTTTACCTTAAACTGTTATATAAACTTTCATTTTATAGAATGTACGAATTAATCTCTGGGAAAACTTATTAAACCGAAAGAAATGTAATCGCTGAGCGTACACATGTCAATCAAAGCATATAGTTAATATCAAAGACGATGAAATGTTTCGTTGCTCTCTGATTCCCTTTCTTTGTATTGATAGTACTTTTAGACAGTATTGCACGAGGTCTTTGCGTTTACAATAATGGTGTTCTACTTCTACTACAGCCGCAATTTGTGATCACGCAACGTTAGGTAAACCTAAACGGATCTAAACGATTTCGACAGACAGTAGATTTTATGTTGACAGATGAGAATGACGGTAAGCAATAATGTAGAAATGTTCCTTTTCTACTTCTGAGTGTGGAAAATTCCGAGACACAGTAGACTGTTCTTCGAATTTGCTGGCGTGTATTAAGAATGACATTAGTTATCACTTGCAAATTTGTCACCTTTTAAAGCTTGTCGGAAAGAAGAATATAAATTATTTCTAATTTTCAGAACCTTGCTAAGGGGGCCGATTACATGGGCGAGTTGTGCCGGCTAAGCGAGTTGACTCGCTTTGCCGACCTGACCCGCTTCCCATATGTTTGTCTATTATTTTGACATTTCGATTACATGCAAAGCGAGTTGTCCCGCCTTGCCGGGACCGCAGCTGTAGCTTACCGAGTCAACTCGCTAGCCGGGACAGAAATTGCCCACACATCCCATGTAATCGCTTTTTGCCGAGTTGGCTCGGCAAAGCGGGCTGAAAACCACACTTAAGCATGTTTTAATTTCGATTATATGTACAAAATGATATTAATGAACGTTTTCAAGGTTTAGACAGGAAGCGACACAATTTTGTTAGAATACAAACAGTATAAGCCTGTTGGGATCAGCGCTAAGTATAAATACCTCAACCAACAACATTCAGTGGGTATAATTGTCCTCAAATACAACATGCAAATACACCATTTTTAATCGATTTCTGACACCGAGTATTAAATTGTTAATTAAGCATTAATGAGCTATACTTCAGCCCGGCTAGCCGGGTTAGCGCGGTGCATGTAATCGCAATAAATGATTTCCGGGTTATCGCCGATATTTTGCGTGGGTAGCAAGTTGAACTTTGAACCCAAGATGGCCGTATAGAATTTCACAATTAGAATTTTATAATTTATAATAATTGATTTTAATGTATCAAATATCCTATGGCATCGTCTTCTTATGAACGGTTTTTTAATATGAATGTTCAAGCTCTTCAGGATTATCTTACAGTGAGAGGAATATCGGTGAGTGGATACAAAAAAGCAGAATTGATTGCACGAGCATTTTCCGCCGCGGAAATGGATCTTCCAATCATTATGAGTTGTGATGAACAAACTAAAGTTTTAAAAAATGACTATGCGAAAAAACTTGATGAGTTTGGTTTACCAGATCCGAAGCTAATCTCAGAGGATCAGAAAATTGATAATTTGACTACCTGGCCACCAGTCACTTTGGGACAAATTTTTTCAGTACATACTTAACAAAAGGGAATTCGACACTGAGTATATCGGCAAATACAAGGACCAAAAAGCATACAGCTATTTTGACAGCGGCTTTGTTGGAGAAATACTGACGAATAAGACAGGCCCTTTCATAATTTTACTTTGTAATGTAAGAGCGTCCATGTCTATAAATGAAGAAAAAGACCTTTGGGTTGCAACACAACCTGATGGTAAAGTTCTTACTGCTTGGTGCTCTTGTATGGCAGGTGCCAGTGGATGTTGCAATCATATAATAGCAACATTGTACAAAGTAGAATATGCTAACTCTCAAGGATTTTGTTCTCCTGCTTGCACCTCTATTCCCTGTGGATGGAATAAGTCAACAAAAACTATTATTGAACCTAAAAAGATTGCTGACATTGTTGTCAGAAAAAAACTAAGGTCAAAACAAGCTACCAGTTCAAATAGGGAAGAAGTTAGGATGGCTGAATTGAATAAGTTTGACCCCAGGGAAAAATTGCAACAAAATATGACTAATGAGCGTTTGACACTTTTATTAAATGGAATACAAAAGTCTAATCCAACTGCTGTACTTTTTAAGTCTATCGAGGGAATGTCTATTGATTCAGTGACATGTCATAATTTAACTGTGATAAATATAGCAAATGAGGTCTCAATTGGTTGTCAAGATAAAGATGAAAAGATGACAACACTTTTAAAAAAACTTTGTTTCTCTGAAAAAGAATGAGCAGCTGTTGTGAGATGCACACGAAACCAATCAAACTCTAAGGAATGGATTGAACATCGAAAAGGACGACTGACAGCTTCAAAACACCATGAATATTATACCAAAATTAACACAATAATGAAAACCAGAACTCCTGTCAAACCAAAGACTACTCCATTAGTTTCAAGTTTATTGTGCCAAGACAAAAAGTTGGACAAAGTTGCAGCTGTCCAATGGGGGAAATGCAGAGAAGAAGAAGCACTTAAAGAGTTCTATGCTCTAGAAGCAACAAAACATATTGACTTCAAGCTTGAGAAAAGTGGACTCTATTTGGACAAAAATAGGGCATACATTGGTGCATCCCCAGATGGAATACTGTACTGCAAATGCCACGGTAAAGCTGTCATTGAAATAAAGTGCCCATTCAGTATAAAGGATAGTAAAATAGCTGATGGATATGGAAAGTGTGACTTTCTGACATTGGAAGATGATTCAATTGTTCTTAAGACAAGTCACAAGTATTACACACAAATTAATTCCCAGATTGCTCTAAGCAATTCTACATGTGGATATTTTGTTGTCTGGACATCCCAAGACATTCTTGTGCAAAACATTGAGTTCAACAAAAATCATTGGGAAGCTGTATCTACAAACTTGGAAATATTTTTTAAAAGTTATGTGGCTGAGAGAATTTTGAGATTGAACCCTATCGAGTTTTGTGGATCATGTGAAAAAGTACTATTTGAAGAAAATGAAATTGCAGAGAATGAACTTGATCTTAGAAGTATTTGTTGTGACCAGTGTAATTGCTGGTATCACCTGAAGTGTCAAGGGCTTGATGATGTTGTGGATGGAGAATGGTTGTTAAACAAACATTTCTGTTAATTGACAGTATACCTGTCACATTTTAGGAACAGTTAATATTTTTAGACTTTTGTAATTTTGTATTCTTTTATATTTTAACCCATTGAGTGGCAGCACTCTCTCCCTCGCAATTAAAATCATCTGGCTTTAGACAACAAAATAATAAAGTACGATACATCTGGGCATTGAGACTTAAAGGTTTAACCTTTACCTTAATCCTAACTCTTACTAATCCTAACCCTAATTTTAATCCTAATCCAAACCATAATCCTAATCCAAACCATAATCCAAACCCTAAAAGTCTAAAAATAGTAACTGTTCCTAAATCATGACTTATATGATTAAAATCACTGTAAAACCACTGTAAAACCACTGTAATATTTCTGCATTCCCTTGAATAATGTCTTGGGAAATTTATGTGCAATTCATGTGTCAATGTCAATTTTCTCAGCTTGCAATGGAGGAAATAAGTTCACTAATGCACAACATATTATAAGAATGTCATCAACCAATGGCAGTTCCAACATAGTAAGTTCAGTAGATAAAATTCTAAACCATTTAACTCTTGCAATGGCTTTTTCAACAAAGATTCTTACATTGGCAACTTTACTTGTAACAGCGACATCATCTGATATCATTTGATTGCCTTTAGCTGCACTTGGAGGGATTGCTAAATAGCATCTCTTCATTGTGAGGTCTGACTTTATCTTAAAACCCCTGTCTGCCATAACAGTGTCATAAGGTTCAAGTAAGTCTAAAAATCCAGAGTTTCTAACAATAAAAACATCGCTTGTCCTTCCACCATAACATGGAGATATCCATGAAACTGCTCCATTTGGTGTGATGGCTATTAAAAACTTGAAAGTGTAATGGTGCTTGTAATCACTCCAAAGACATGCACCAACCTCCAGAGATGACGGCGTCTCCAAAAAAACTTCTGAGCAATCAATGATGACTCTGACTTTTGGATAAAAGCGTTTGAAGGCATCTGGTAAAGTAGCATATATTTGACCTTTAGATGGCCATATAATGAGGTGCCGTAGTTCTTTCGATAAAAGCTTGACCCAAGTTATCCAGATTTGAGAAACTCTGGTGGTTGAAATTTGAAATCTAAAAGCCAAGTCCTTAATGAGCAATCCCAGACGCAATCTCATGACAGTTAATAAAAATTCTTGTTCTAAGGTAGTCTTTCGCTGAGGTCCTGGTTTGTTAATGGGCAATACAGATCCTTCCGCATACACATTTGATAATATTATGGTATCAATTCTTTGCTGATTAGGTTCTTCTCTCTCTACACCGGAACTTCTTTTTACACCTTCCCAATATTTCATCAGTCGTGCTCTTGGCACTAAAAAGTTGAATTTTCTTGGAAACTTTTTGTGCTCTCAAACCCAGAAAAAAATCTAACATCACTTTCTCTAGTAATTTGAGCAAACTGCATTGCAATGGCAATGTTGACATTATCAATAGCAGGAATAGGGTTTTCTGAACATTCCTCCTGTTCATCCATTGTTGAACATGAAGGCTGAGGGCTGCATGAGGAAAGTTTTCTTTTTTTTGAAGGACTCTCTCGTAAATTTAATTTTTTGGGTGTCGGTAGTCATCTAATGTCAAATAAAGTATGGGATTTGGATTTTTATTGGTGGGTTTGCCATCTGGAAAATGGTTTGAACATATGCGGCTGTTATCAGTTGGAACAAACTCACATCTCCCTTTGGCCACAAGTGAAGCCCACTTCCTTTTTCTATCTTCGTCTTTCGTAGGAAAGCGGTGCCATTTTAACTCTTCAACATGTTCCATGACAACTAATCTTTTAGGACATCGTTTATCATTGTCACAGGGTCCAACGCAACATCGATCAGCGCGAACCATGTTTTTTAGCAATAAAAAAAATAATAATTCATTATATTTTTATCATTCGCCATCTTGGGTTCAAAGTCCAACTTGCTACCCACGCAAAATGGCGGCGATATCCCGGAAATCGTTTATTCAAAAGTCAACTCGCTTGGGCGGGACAACTCGGCAAAGCGGGACAACTCGGCCCATGTAATCAGCCCCTTTAACTGTTACTGAAAAAAGGAATAACGTTGATTAAATAACTGAGGCGTTCAAATGGGTTACAGCTGTTTGCGCTGAATTGTTTTGTATTATATAAAAATATTGGCATATTTTTATACAATAAGAAATAATATACTGAAATTCTTGAAGAATAGCCTTGACCAAAGTGACCCAGGTTCGGCCTGAAAAAGTTGATGAACGGTAACTTATTAATTGAATTCTAGTTTCATTGATAATTGTTTCTAATCCTAGAGACAATTCAGTTGCTAGAAAACTATACTGAGCGAAACTAACGAAATATTGACATTTGACATCACAGCGAGTATACATTTCTGATTTGTTTCGGCCAGGGCCCGGGGTTTTTCCCGAGATTTTATTCGTATACATTCTAACGAAACTTTTACAAAACAGTTTAAAAACGATGAAAATTCTGTCTGTAGTATGACTAATTCTGAGTTTTCCAATTTCATTGAACAGTGTTATTTGTTAAACAGGTAAAGGTATTTGTTAAAGAGGTAAACAAAGCGAACTGAGCGAAGTTTGTATAGTATGTCCCAATCAGGACTCGTGGCATTGAGGCGCGCAGAAGACACAGGACACACTGGCATTGAATGACTCTATCCGTGAAGCCAAACTGTACTCAAACAATTATTTTGGTTCAAGCGCCAAACCAAAGAATAATTATGAAAGACATATATTTACATAAGCAGTGTAGCGTAAGGTGATTTTATCTGTTAATATCAATAATTATGTTTACCGATAAACTATGCTCGATTTAGACACATTCTCAAATTTTACAAAGTTTGCGCGCTTGTCATTTTTGTCAAATGGTAAATCAGAAAGATATTATTGGCGATTTGTGTTGACTAAGGGGCGGACCATTTAACTTTGGAGGGGGGGGGGGGGTGGAAGATTTCGAAAAAAAATTTTCCTGCAACCCAAGGAGAAAGAAAAAAAAATCATGCAGCATACAATCGAGAAAAAAAAATATCATGCAAAAGAGAGCGCTCAAAAAAAAAAATTTCTACATGTAACTATACTGATGCTCTTCACTTCTGTATTGTGTCCACAGACTTGCAAGATTTTGCATTTTTGAGCAGGCACATTTCCTTAAAAGAACACGGGGTGAACAATGGATAACATTAACATCACAGGGATTCTACCGCCTTTGGAGCCTCTGACATACGATAGCCAGTGGTGTTCCCTGGCAAAATTGTTGCTCCACCCCCTGAGAAAATCTGGGCTTAAGATTATTATGTACAAGTTTATAAGTTATTTATACATATCTAATATGCATGGTAGAAAAAGTGTTTTTGGATGGTTGAGTCTGTGTGCGTTTTTTGATAACATAGCTCCAAACTATTAATAATCTCTTTCATTACTGGTCAAAACACCATAAATTGAGTGCACCTCTCCCTCGGCTTATTTCTAGACAAGTATCCACAAATACAAAACTAGCTATACCTCTTTTTAAAGCTTATTGAATAAGCTATCAAAATTTTATTACAGTACATTTTGAAATAAATTTTCATAATTTAGCATAAATTATAAAATGTGTCTTCAAATGTTAGACATGAACTTATCTATGTTCCACATATTGCAATGTATACTAAAAATTTAAATGCACAAAGTTGTACTTATTTATTAGCAACATGTCCAGCAAGTATGGCTGAAAAGGAATAAAAAGAAAAAAAGTTACGGCTGTTTGAATAACCCTTCTCGAAACAGTCAAAATGTAGTAAAAACGACAGTACACATAGATGTGTTTTGTTTTGAAATATATGCAGGAAAATATTAGTATGCATAGAATATTTTGTCGCTGATACATTATATATGTTCCTCCACTTTGATTTTTGTGCTTCTGGATCTCCACACACCACTCACTTATATATTGGATCTCCACACCCCACCCACTTATATATATAATCCACTTTTGTTTTTATTTTCCTTTTTTATATATGTTATCATTATTTATATTACAGATGAAGGATTTTGTACCAGGAAATTATTGAGGGTGAATTTAAATACATTTATTAGACCTAACCAGGAACAGCGGTGAAACAATGCGACTACGGGTCCATGGCAGGAATCAAACCTGGGGCTCGGAGCCCTTCGATTCTGCTGCATTGGAATCACAGGGCCGCGAGTTTCACTCCTGGACCTATAGTTGCATTTTTTGTAGCTGTTCCTGGTTAGATCTAATAAATGTATGAATGTATGTAAATTTACCATGAATAATTTCCATCTACAAAATACTTCAACTATTATTCAATCGAGTGGGATACTAACAAAATCTTTGATATCATTATTTATATTACATCATGTGTATGTTAATGATTCATGATAATATTATGCACTATTATGCCATTCCAAAACAACAATTTCTCTCCCTAGTTACATGTAGATACTTACCACACTGTGGGGCACTTCAATATGTGTGCACCTTGAACTCACCTCTACCCGGCTTGTAACAAACCGTGCACCGTCTCCTAAAATCTGTAAACTCTAGCACATGAATAGAGTCAAACACAGTGGTGGGGATAGGGAGAGTTGGCCTTCGTACAGCTACAGGGGGGTTTGCATTACTCAGAGAACCCACAAATTTGCCTGATAACCTCCTCCCTAAAATTACGGACCGTGTACCAGGGGGGCTTCGTAAATCCTTACTGTCTGGGAAATTGGGTTGGCGTTCTTGAAAGGGAATGAAACCGTTAACAATAGCAATATCAATGAGATGGAAGAACAAGGTTTTCCACCATCGCAAGCACTTGCGCATAATATTATTAGTACCTATGAGTTGATCCGAATGATCAACCCCATTCATGTATCTATTGTACCTATCAATGGCCTTGGGTTGGTCAACTATTACATTAGTCCATACATTACCTGTCTTAGTCTTTCTTTCAATTGGAACCTTATCATTTGCATTACCTAGGGTTGTTAGTACTGATAAAACCTTATTATCTATCCACAATAAACAAAGGCAGGGAGGAACCCTCTCCCAGCACATACTTCCTCTTTCCTGTTTCTTTTCCCACTGCTGTCATTCTTCATGCTCACCGGGAATTGTCGCAGTTCTCCGATATTGTCCCAGTTGCCAGCAAACCGACATCAAACAAATCTCTGAAAAGAACAACTGATGAATAAAAATTATCAAAAAACAAATGATAGCCCTGATGGCAAAAAATAAGATTACAAGTTATTTCCTCATACCCTCATAAACACAACTGTACATACTATTTTTCTCTCTTTGTATATTTTCAATGTATTTCAATGTAAGAAAAATATATAAATTCGCACCATAGGTGAATTACATTATATATTTACAAGTATATACTATTTAGTATAAATTTATCTTATTTCTAATTGCTTCATGCCCTCTCAAGCCGTTTCATGTGGTGAATATAAGTATCTCATGCAGTAAACAATACAATGGTATCAAATAACTAGCAGACAAATAGTTTCTTCACAACATCGAATTCAGCATAAGAGCTCCGTCTCTCAGTCGTGAAATAGTACTTCTAGCACTCCAAATATGTTCTCATTATATATACAAGATATTCCCTGGGAATACACAACTGTATACAAAGCGCTCAATCAGGGTCTTTAAATGCGTCACATAATTAGACGCTCGGTAATCTGAGAGCTCTGCAGCGCTTGCAAGATTTTGTATTTGTTGCTCATAACCCAACCGTTTTTACCCAAGAAAAGTGCTCAATTCATCTCCGAACAATTTCTTGATATGATAAGCAATATTTCATAGACAATATATGAAGATATCGACTAAAATTACATCGCTTCACAAACACGCAAAGATATTTCCCACATGGCCGCGTAGCATATTTTAGACTCGCCTCATAGATTCGTCCAAATCCATTAGTTGGCGGTCAATGTTCGATTCCTCTCCGCTTGACATTTCTCCACGATCACTGTTGGACTTATTTCTATCTTATAAATCTCCTAAAACATCTTCAGCACTGAGGCAACTCCGCTTAGTGCAAGTCGCCATCGTGTCACACTGAAGGTCAAATTGCATAACACGCTACTTTTAGCAAAAGACACAGAAAAAGCAGCCAATCACTGCGTTTGTTATTTCCAAGTGACCAATCACAGTGCTTTATGTAGCCCAGACTCTCGGCTTCA